TAAAAAGGTTGTTAGCCTGCTACAAGCATCCCCATTCACCATCATAAATCCACAGGTCTAAAGTTAGTCTTGATTCTTCTTTCAATCCTTCAAACCTAAAGTCCAAAGAAACTATTTCTTCCATCCCCTGACTCTGCTGCCCTGTAAGCTCCAATTCAGGTACCACTACTCTCTGGTGCATGAATGTGAGGCCTTCTCCCGGATTCTATGCACCAGCCATGTCCTCTTCTATTTTACTCTCCACATATCACTGAGCTATGAAAAACCAGTTTCTACCCACCCCACACTCCTATGTATCTAGTACAGAGTTCTTAACAGGCCTATATGTCCTCCAGAACCTATGCTCTGATGACTATTGCTGCCTTATCCAGCAGTCGTCTGGCTCTGTGCTCCCCTTCAGTGACACCTGCTGTGTCCCCATCCATCCCTGTGCATGGAGGCCCATGCCTAAAACATAAGGCACTACACAGCCCTACCCCTCAACCTTCAGGGAAATCCCTCAAGAGTCTCTCTTTCCTAGAAAATTCACTTCCTTTCCTCTTATTTCTGGGCCCTTAGCACATTCAACTATTCAGTCAACAAGATCAACTTCTGACTATCCTCTGGAGCCTAGCATAAACAGGCACTTAAGTGGCTGTTAAATGGATGCAGATATAGCAATATGTGAAAAAGGCAAGATCCTACAACCTCAAAAGAATTCTCACAGCACTATAAGAGTATGAATTGATAAGATAATTAAACCTTAAAAGATTGATTTTTAAAGACTGATATGTCTTCACAAAATATATGCTCATTCTCATATGCAGAAACTAGATTTTAACACACATGCACCCTGAAAGCAGAGGAAATACTACTTTATATGAAGAAGCCAATCAGCAAACAGAGGAGAAAAGCTGTGGGTCACAGGGAGAGGAAAAATGAGCAAAGTACAGTGAGAAGTATGTAAGAAGACATAATCAAACCCAGAAAGCACAGTCACCAGTAAGTGGCCTCTTCCAACCCTTTGAATAAAATCCAATTAAAATTCTGGCACCACTCTTGCAGAATAGAGAGAAAATGGTAAAGCCCTTTTAGACCAGGCTTATCAACTTCCCAGTTAAAACAAGTCTTATTGGAACTCCTTTAAGATTTTAGCAGCAGGACCACCATGACGCTGCTCTTCAGGGAGTTCCAACAGAAGAAGCTGCTAGGACAACTGACAGAGAAGCCCAGCATTTACACCCAAGAAAACAAAGTCAATGCTAAACAGTGATGAGCTGAGAAAAAAAGTGGAAAAACAAGAGTAGGTGGATTTCACAATATAGGCTGGGGCTATCTGAAAATGTGAGATCCAAAATGCTCCAAAGTCTAAAACAGGGCTTGGGGGGCTCAGTGGTACTAGAAATCCAATTCCTGGCATATACATAGCAAGAGAAGGCACAGAATCCACACCAGGATTCTGTTTCCAAAGGTGTCAGGACCTTAAGGCCTGTATAGAACACATGGGTGGGAGAGGCAAAGACAATTTCATAACTCTATAATCACAATGTGACAGCTTTATAACAATGTTTTAGGGTATTCTTTTATTTCCTGAAAGACATTTTTACTAGGTAGCCCAGGTTGCCACAGAACTTTCTAATGTGGCCCAGCTGACTCTGAGCTCACAATCCTCCTGTCTTCAGTCAGCACTCTTAACTAATACTTATCCTCCTCAAATTTTCTATATTTTCTTTAATATGTCATTCTAATAATTGGGGGAAGAACTCATTAAAATATACTCAAGTCATTAAGCAGTGAACATACAAAAAATGTATTATTATAAAAACTTTTAGCATACAGTCTAAACATTTTTCAAATGTGTAAATTTTTATAAGACTATAAAAAGTCATTTGCTTCAGAAAAACACTCATACATAAATGTCTTAGACAAACTTAATGTATTAATGTTAGAGACAAACTCAACAGAAAACAAACTGGATAAAACAGAGCACTGGGGTAAGGAAATAGTGCGGTTGGACTTGTCATACAACCATGAGGGACTGCACAGAAAGAATGACTTAACAAATTCATCTAGGGTTGGAAGATAAGCGCATCAAGTGGACCTGCGTTTCAATCTGGAACACAAGAAAAAAGCCGTGGCTCACACTAATAGTCTCAGCTCTGAAGAGGTGTTGACGAGTACATCCCTGGAGCTGCTGGCCAGCTAACCTAGCTCAACTGAAAGTTCTAGGCCAGTGAGAGATCCTGTTTCAAAATAAAAAGATAGCAACACCTGAGGAACAACACTCAAGGTGATGTCTGACTTCACACACAACCTCACTCCCCAAAACACACAAAGATATGCACATGAGCATACACATACATACATAAACACAAACAGATGTGTAAGCATACACATCTACATGTATATGCACACAAACAGAATTTTAATAATTATCAGTGGACAGTGACTTTTTTGTCAATTTTTAATCAGATTTATTTTCTGATCTTTACCAAATGAATATGTATGTCTTCCGCAATAACAGCAATAATGGAGAAATGTAGCAAATACATCAGAAATTACATAACAGTAGTTATGCTTCTGTAGCCACACTCCAATTTTTATCTGTGAACATCTGAGTCAGGATGAGAACCTCTGAGCAAGCATCATCCACTGTATCAATCCTCCTTATTCCCTAAGTGCTCTGAAGACTCTATTTGGCCAACATTGTGATAAACAGTGAGATTCAGCAATTGTGAGTGCTGTAACTGGCCATCTATATGGACAACTCCACCATCAGAAAAAAAAAAAAAGCTACGAAGAGAACATACACTTCAGTCTCTTACACATGAGTAGTTAAAATAAAAGTGAAAATGGGCAATAGGGAGATTATTAAGACAAACAGAGAAGGCTGAACATAGTGTTCCATCCAAAAGCATCACAAAATGTAAGCTGCCTCTAGGTTCTACAAGATTCTTTGTTTGTTTTTATGAAAACCTTTCCTCTTTAATGCCTCGTCGTGTGTATAGGTAATGAGTGTTTTCATGAAATCTTAAACTGGGGGAACTGAGGGAACAAGACAGTTAATGTCCATCCAGTAAAGAACCACTGAAAGAGGCATGTACCAGAGACAGAGAACAAAGGACCAAGAAGGAGACAGAAAAACTGCTTACCAGAAGTGTTCCCAGAACCTTCCGGAAATATGAGCACTGTAAACCCTGCCCTCTCCTCCTCCTTTAGCCTCCAGATTGTAAGACTTCACTGTGAAGGAAAAATGACCCCTCAGCTAACCGGCCTAACATTTTTTTTTCCACTCCTTCAAAATATGCTTCAGGTTAAACAGACAGTGGATGGAATCAAAAACTGCGATGCTCTGTGCTTTGTTTCTAAGCCTGAGGTGACCACCCTTTAAACTAGCTGCTTCCCTCCTGAGCCTCTTGTTCCCTTAGTGCCACTCTAAGAGCAGGTGCAATGTGCTGACTACAGTCAGCCCACTGGCATTTGCCCCCTGGTCTATCACATCCGCTCTGTCATCACCTTCTTCCCTGTGCAGCCTGAACCTCACACCAGTGATTAAGAAATAAGTTTATAAACTGACTTCCCTTTTCATTCCTCCATTTGCCCCTGGTCATAGGTCCACTTTTTAAAGAAAATGATAAGAGGTTTTAAAAAATAGGAAGAATTTGTTAGCAATTAATTATACATTTGACAAAGAACTAGAAGAGAATTCTAAGGTTCTCAGCACACAAAAAAATAAAAAATGAAAAAACCAAAATGAGTCAGGAAGGAAACCTCTCTGTTAATTTGATCAGTACACTGGATATATGAGCTAACCTATCACACTGTACCCTATCACCATAGATAAGTATTAACTTCAATCATTAAAAAGAAAGTGAAATAACAAGATGTCAATCTTCCTAATAGTCACAAATGTGTGGGACAACTGCAAAGCAGACACAGAGGACAGAGACAGAAAGACAGAATGACAGAGAGACAAACAGACAGACACTAGCGGAGAGAGCAGAGAGGGTCTTCTCATCAAGTTTTAGCAGTTCTCAGTCACTTGCTGGTAGGAATTATGAAATTCAAAACCCTCCACATAAGGCCCTGTGTTCTGTCTTACTGCCCCCCCACACACACAGTGTGAAGTTCTAGCGAGTACTAAAGGCCTTGATCTGCATTTCTAGGAAGAAGTAGGAACTGAGCAGTGCAAGCTAGATAGAGAAAGACCAGAAAACCAGAACCAGAAACAGAAAAGCTCCAGCTGTGGCTGACAAAGGAAACTGTATTTAATAAGTGGTAGGAATACAGAAGATACTAATCATCATGAGAAACTACATTTCAGAAAACTGTTCTGTGGCCTACAAATATATTTGCATATATACAGCATTTCTCCAAATTCACAGTTATATATAAGAGACCTTGAAAAAAACACTACAGAAGGAAACAAACCCCAGTGTAAACCATGGTCATGTCAAGAAAAGATGTATGGTGACTCTCACATTTTCTACTAATGACCTTTTATTTTAAAGTACCTATTAGGTCTTTAAAATTAAGAAAATTTTTACTGAAAAAACTTCTGGTGGTCTTTTAAAAGACTTTTCCAAGGACATTGCTGACATTTTCTTCTTTCTAAGGTCTAGAGAGTGACAGATAAAGCTTGACTCACCTTCCTGCAGGTTTCCCAGGTAAGCATCTCCAAGTGGCCAGCAAGAAGAAAAAGAAAGCCAGGCCCCTGTTTCAGTGTTGCAGCGACAATATAGTCAAGGGAGGAAAAGCAAACAAGCAAAATCCCCCAGGGGCAATGCCTGGGCACATGACTGTGTAGTAGTTTTGACTTCAATACTCCTTAAGTTAACCACCTTAACATCCTGGGTAGCCAAACTTTATCAGCTACTTGTAATATATGAAACTCAAGAAAATCCTGGTGAAGGGACCATTACTGTTATCAACACTAAAAGCTGGTACCAAGCTTAGCTTTGTCCAATCTCAATGATGCCCTGGAGGACAAGGCATCTTTAGTAAATTTAGAAGAGACTCACCAGATGCTTTGCCTTCAAGCGCTCTTCCTCGCTGGATATTCTTTCCCTCAGGATAGCTCTGGTCAGCTGCTCGTTGGCTGCAGCCCTCTCTCGTTCTAGGTCCCTGGCTTGCTTAAGGCTGAAAAGACAAGCAAGGGAATAATGTCTTGATATTATTTTAACTACTGAAACTATTTTAGATTATTTAATAACCTAGTTAGAAAAAGAACACTTTGCTGCTTGACATTACTTTATGATAAATGAAATAACTGAACAAAAAGACAGAAACACAACAGCCATAAATCCAAAAGCTAAAATCATCTTGGTCCATAATCCACCAAAGCTTTCTACAAAAGCAATCTCCCTGCAGCCTCCACCCACACATTTAAAACAAAAGAATTCAAAGAGGAGAAGCTATTGATTCAGGTAACAAAGTATCCAAATTTAATAAAGTCCTCAGGCAAAACTGAAAACTTCCTACCTAAGAATCTATCACTGGGCCTGCCAGTGAATAAAGACCTTGCCACACAAGCATGCGGACCTGAGGATAGGCTCTCCAGCAGAGACACCAGGATCCCTCTGCTGCTGGCTGGCCAGCCTAGTCCACCAACAAGTCCTAGGTCCCAGAGAGAGGCTCACTCTCAAACTCCAAGGCAGACCATGCTCCTGAGACCTATAGCTGAGCTACATTTCTGGCCTCTGCATACACATGTACACATGCCCAAAACCATCAAGCCACCTTTGTGACAAGTATATGAAGGCTTACCTTCTTCTTTTCAAAACTGACTCATTTATTGAATGTGAATCAGGCACAATGTTAAGCTTGGAGGACACAGTAGTGGAAAGGTGTTGAGATCCCTAGGTTTCTTAATCCTATTTTAAAGCAGAGGTTAACTAGTAACACATAAAAGAAGTCTCTCCATACAGTGTATCACTTCATCTTCAAAAATTGTCATGCAAATACAGCAGAGCCTTTAATAGGAGGCTCCAGGCTGCTGGAATGAAGGCTCTCACCTCTCTTACCTCCAAATAGAATCTTACATTCCAGACATGGTCTAGTGAAACAAGAAGCCGGTGTATTGGTGCCAGAATCTACATACTACTAATTCTATGAACAAAGCCTACAACTGCATTAAGGTGATCCATAGCCTCGTCACACAATTAGATCCATATTAAGTTACAATCTACTAAAAACCCCCCATATATGATAAAGATAAATGACTTTGGCACTGGATTTTGCCATAATGCATTGCACAGAAAGGTACTCGGAAGCACTAAATGAAAGATCATTTCAGTCTACTTTCATGGACAAAGATTTTCTGATTATTTTTTCTCTTTTGAAAGAATAACCCTTCTATACCATCATATCTCCAAAGATGTCAGCTATGCTTTAAAGGGAGGTGAAATTGTTATGTTGATGTTATTCTAAGTGAAATTTTCTGAGTGTGAATGATGAGTGCTAAATTTTAATTGGTGCTAGCCTATCAAAAGGACCCTTGAGAAGAAGTAGAGAACATAAAATTCTTATTACTATTTTAAATTGTCACACCATCCTGATACTATAGATTCCTTAGAAATAAATTATAACAGATAAAACTATCTTATAAAATATATTCCAAATTATGTCTTTCCCTTAGATGGTAAACATGTTTAGTTGTTTCTTAAAGAAAAAATAAATAAATAACAGGGGCTGGAGAGATGGCTCAGAGGTTAAGAGCGCTTCCAGAGGTCCTGAGTTCAATTCCCAGCAACCACATAGTGACTCACAACCATCTGTAATGAGATCTGGTGATCTCTTCTGGCATGCTGGCATACACGCAGGCAAAACACTGTATAAATAATAAATCTAGGAAGGAAGGAAGGAAGGAAGGAAGGAAGGAAGGAAGGAAGGAAGGAAGGAAGGGAGGGGGGAGGGGAGGGGGGGGGGGGGGGGGGGGGGGGGGGGGGGGGGGAGGGAGGGGAAATAAATATAAACTTTTTCCACTGTAAGACCTTCTAAGCCATAAGTACAATGAAGTATAGGCAAAGTAAAAATCTCTAAAATATTTAATAAAAGAACAAACATCATAGCATCAGCCACTGACTATCAGATCACACTGCCTCCCCAGTTAAGGAAATTGGGGTGAGTTCCACACAGCAGCAGGAGCAAAAACTTTCCGGGCAGTATTGAACATCTAGACATCAGAAACCCCAAGCAAAGTATCTAGCAAAATGCCTTTTAATGTGTCTCCGCCCTGGTGAGTCTGATTCTATAGCTGGAAAGCTACAACTTGATACACAAATACATACTGGAGATATATCAAAGGGAAGTAACATAAAAATGTAGTGGTCCACACGAAGTCACTGATAACAGCTAATGTTATTAAGCCAGATTACAAAACTATGCGTTTAGAGCACTTTAATGGGAATACTGTAGCACATTTTTTAAAAGTTGCCTATTTAATATTTGCATAAAAAAACATTACCATCACTTAGGGATCATCTGCTACATGCCTAAAAGTGTGACAGGCATTTCACATGTGCACACATACATGCATGTGCTTTATATGCAAAGGTGACATTGATTATGAACATGGACTATGAATCTATAGAACTACACTTGATCATTCAGTTTGGTGTAGCCAGTTTTAATAATGACTATTTGTCTAGCTGAATTTACTCAAATACAGTACAAGTTTAATTACAAATGACGATATAAGTGGCTTAACTCAGAGAATCATAAACTGCTGGAAGTGAAAGCAAAGAAGCAAACATAGAAAAATATGAAAGTCTTCAACATTTTTTAAAAAACAGTGCCTACTGTCCTGCTGTGTATGAAGACAAACAAGCTCTGGGTGTGGTCTTGAGATCCACCAACCCTACACTCACTAACCTGAGCTCTGCTATGTGGATTGGTGTTAACGCCTACCTTGTACATAAACAAAGCATTTAGGACAGAGTGACAAATGTCAGAACTCAAAGAAATAACGGTAATACCTTCGTTGTAGGGATAGGAATACACAGAAGCAGAACATTCTGTTACAAAGAAAACCTATGTGTATATAGTGGCTTTGGCCTCAGGTGTTGAGCTCTCAGCGCTCTCTCTCTCTTTCTCACCTCCTGCCCTCCCTCCCTCTCTCTGGTTTTCTCTTTCTAGCTCTCTCTCCCTCCCTACCTCCCTCTCTTCGTCTTTCCCTCCTTCCCTCTCTCTCAATCTCTCTTTCTCTCTTCCTACCTCTCTCTTGTCAAGAGGAAATTTTGCTTGATTCTTTAACTTTTCTTCAAGAACTTCTAGAGGCAAAAACTTATGCAACTGCTGCTGACTCCAGTATCCTGCTTTTTCTTTTGTTTGTGTTTCTTTTCTCTTTTCTTCCTTCCTTCCTTCCTTTTTATTCTTTTATTCTTAAATACACCCTGACCAGTTTCCTCTCCCTACAGTCTTCCCAGCGACCCCCTCCCTGGAACTCCCCCTCCATTTCCCTTCAGAAAAGAGCAGGCCTCCCAGGGATGTCAACTGAACTCAGTATAACAAGTTACAGTAGGGCAACCCACAAATCTCAAATCAAGGCTGGGCAGGAAAAGCCAGCGAGGGAAAGGCTTCCAAAAGAAGGCCAAAGAGTCAGGGACACCTCCTCTTCCAGTTAGGAGTCCCACATAAAGACCAAGCTAACAACCATAACTTGCAGAAAACCTAGCACAGACCCATGAGCCCTGCTTAGTTGATTCTATGGTTTCTGTTCTCCTGGTGTCCTCAACCCCTCTGGCTCCTACAATCCTTCCTTCCCTTCTTCCAAGGGGTTCCCCGAGATCTGAGAGGAGAGACACAATGGAGATCTCCAATTTGGCCTAATGTTTGGCTGTAGGTTTCTGCATCTACTCCTATCAGCTGCTGAAGGAAGCCTCTCTGATGGCCACTGGACTAGGCACTGATCTATGAATATAGCAGAATGTCATTAGGAATCATTTTATTGGCTTATTTTTTGTATCCTGCATCTCCAAGCTATCCAACCTCTGGTACCCAACCATCTAGGCAGTGTTGAGCATGGACTTCCTTTCATGGCATGGGCCTCAACTTAGCAACATTCACTGATTGGCCACTGCACAAGTTCGGCAACTCCACTGACCTAGCACATCTTGGAGGCAGGACAGATTGTAGGCAAAGGTTTTGCAGCTGGGGAATCCTGCTTTTTCACAGGCTTCTTTCGAATGTTCCTGTAAGTTCAAAAATGGAAAGGACTTGGTCTATTTTTGTCAATGTTACATACTCAGTATTTACAGCTGCCTGACCCATTATAGATGCTCAAACATCTGTTAAATGTACATATATGGCACAACCTATACTACACTAAACAAATGACAAGAGCAGGGTGCCAACATTTGGAAACACCAATGTCTAAAGTCTGACTCTTGGAGAATCAAGACATACTGGTACAAATTAATTATAAGAAAAATCACTTTTCTTTCCTCATAAATTCCTTACGTCTGCTTAACAATGATAACTGCCTAAGAGATGTCTGTGCTGTGAGTACTCAGAAAACCCAACTACTATAGTGCAGCACAAGGGAACTGCTATTTGGCTTATGTCTGAAGGACACTGTTGGAACCACAGGAGTAAAGAGAAAGGGACTTAGGCATAGAAAACATCACCAGGCTGAGAGACACACAGAAAGATTTCCTTTAGATGCTGTTCTGCCTTCAGAGTATCACAGAAGCTCAATATCACGTCGGGGGGGGGGGCGCGGGGGTGTTATTTTAAATTATTCTAGAAGGCAGAATTTCAGATATATGGTATGCCTTTAAAAGTGATGGCACCATATTGGGATATTTTCAATTCTGTGAATCCTTTCTCAATTCTTACCCACCAAAAACTTTCACTGACACAGGTTTTTCTTTTTTCCCCCTTCAGGTAAGTACCTCTTACACTCACTCATTTACATCACTTAACATTTTACTTGCTCAGGAGCTCCTATTTCCTGTGGACCATCTTCACTGATCCCCTTGGCTTCCACCCCTGTTCCTTACTCAATTCACTGACCACCTCGAAACCCAGCTGTCCTGCAACCTCCTCTCTTCTCACCACCTCCCAACCCCACCCCATCAGGGACCCAGCTGGACATGAGGGAACAGCAAGGCCACAGTTGGAGCTGTAAGGTCAGAGGA